GTGGGCAGGCGGCGTGCGCGGGAGCCGCGGCGCGCCCAGGGCTTCGCCGGAGCCGCGAAGGGACGGGCGAAGGAGGCCGAGGGGCCAGACCTCCCCGAGGGGCCGAGCCGGGGCCTGACGCGGGCCCGCAGCCGAAAGCTCCCGGCCCAACTGCGGGACACTGAGACCTGGCCTAAGCGGCGGGTGCGATCCAAGGCCGCCGTCTCCAATTAAACTATTTGCCAGGAGCCGGTGGCAGACAGGAGGGAAAAAGAAGGGGCGGGGGCGGACCGGGACCTACAGTAGGGACTTGGAACTCGCGGGCGCCTTTAGCCCCGGACGCCTCTCGTCCCGGGCGAGCTGCCCTCGCTTGCTGGCCTTCGCGTGCACCAGCGCAGACCCGGCCGCCCTCAACGCAGGGCCAAACTGCCAGCGCCCGGCACGGGTTGGCAGTGGAGGGCGCCCGCCTGTTGATTTGCTCTCTACCGGCGGCTGTGACCCGCCGGCGGCCCCAAGTCCAGGCGCGGCGACACTTTCCCCATCGCCCTGCAGAGCCTCTGCGACCTCCTGCCCCGGAGAGCTCCAGGCCCGCGATCCCGCACGCAGCTCTAGGCGATGCTCAAGCCTGGGACGCACGCCGGGCCACCGCCTCCGGGCAGCGCCAGGATTACTCTGTGCGGCGCTCCCGCCCCTCGCACACAGCAGCGCCCACCTGCAGCTGAGGCCCGGGCCGCCCCAGGCTCCCACCCTCACCGCCTCCCAGCGCCCGCCGGGCTTTCCCAGCCGCCTCCCCCAGGGTTCCGGCTCCAGGCCCCCGCGGGGCCAATTCAGGACTTCCACAATTAGAAATGAGCCCACCTGGGCTCACGGAGCGTGCGCTCCTCCTCCCAAGCCCACTGTCACGCTGCCTGCCACCCCTCCCCGTCACCCCCTCTTCCGCACTCCGAATCCCGCAGCCCGGTACTCCAGCCGCGCTGGTGCCCCCGGTGTTCCCAGTCATTTGTTGTCAGAGGAAAAAAGTGGGGAGAAAGACACCCAAGATGTAAGCTTTTTGTTTGTTTGTTTTAGAATGAAATAATACTGTGTGGGCCGGAGGAGGCTTCATAACAGGCCGTGATTCCGGTAGGGAAACTGAGTCACTACACTTCAATGCACTTGCTGTTTAGCTTGTTGGTTTGTTACATGAAACTAATTTTACTTCGTCTCATTTTTAATTTTCTCTAAGATGATTTTTCAGTGGCTGCGCAGATGGGTGAATCTATTATTTCTTTGTTCTCCCAAAGAGAGATCACTGAAGCTGCATTCGGTTTTATTTTCACTGCACTTCCCAACTTAATACATCCCTCCTTTGTTTCTTTGTTTGTGTGATTATACAGATTTTTAAATTTCATATACGACTTATCATATACGACGAATTGCTTCTTCTATTTCGTTGTCTTGTGCGCTGTGGGATCCGGGGTTGCGCACGAGTGGAAACAGGTCACTGGAGTGACAGCGAAGCTAGAGTGTGCACCCAGAGGGAGCCCTGGCTCCAGGGCTCCGGAGGGCACCAGGGATGCGCTCCTCGGGCTGCCAGGATTTGGGCCCTGTAGAAGGACTTGTGCAAAGCTTGCAAACTCATCCCTGCTCCGGAGCCCACACCTGTACCATCTGCAGTCATAGCACCTCATGCCACCTAAGGCTGAGGCTGTTCTTTGGCGTGAAGGTACTTTTACAGCTTTCCCCAAACAGTTGTCACCGGTGCTGTAACTCCCAACTGCCCTCCCCTTCCTGCTCAGTTCCAAGTCTTTTCCTTCAAGACTTTTTTGTTTTTTTTTTTTCAAAGTTAGAGAGTATTTTCTTTGGCTAAGATCTCTTGAGGCTGGGCCTAAGGAAAAAAGTGTGTACCCCCTGATTGTCTCTTGCTTTCTCCCTGACCCCGGCCTCCTCAGCGTGTGTGTATGAAACAGACAGACAGACAGACAGGCAGCCTTCCAAGGCTGCACGTTACCTGCCGAACGCAGGGCTGATGAAGGCCGGGTGCCGGAACACAGCGGCTCCGAGGAAAGTGCTCAGGCCCAGCGGCGCCCCGCTGGGCGGCAGGCTGGCCGAGCCCGGAGGCGGAGGTAGGCTCGGGAAGGCGGCGGCGGCAGCGGCGGCAGCGGCCGTCCAAGCCGAGTCCAGCGCGGGGTGGTGCGGGGGAAAGGGGCTGGCGTCCAGGTAGGGGCTGAGCGGGTGGGTGGCCGAGAGCGGCCCGGGAAAGGGCAGCCCCGGAGGATGGGTCTGCGCGCCAGCCTTCTCCCGCTTGCGCCACTTGGCCCGACGGTTTTGGAACCAGACCTGCAAGGCGGAGAGAGCCCGGGTCGGCTAGGCTCGGGCTCCGGGCAAGCAGCAGCCCCTTCCCGTGGCGCCCCGGCCCGCCCTCCCCTCCATGGCGGCCGGCGCCCACCTCGCCCCTCTTTGGCCTAGGGTTGCCCTCCTCTCCTACACATCTGGGGCGGCCATACAAGCAGCGAAAAAGGAGCCCAAACGTAAAGGCAAGGGAAAACAAAGGGCAAGCAAACTCTTTCCAGTGGGTGTTCCAACTAGTCCAGTCTTCCAAGTTGAGGGAAGGTGGTTTGCTGTGTTTACGGAGGGGGGACAGCGAGTTAAATGTCTGCACTGCCCCTTCCTCGCTGCACCACTTTAGGCAAGTCACTTAAACCCGTATGAACCTCAGTTTTCTAATCTGTAAAGTGGGAATAATAAAAGTTTTCTGCTGTGAGGAATGAGTAAAACAAGGCCAGTGAAAGCACACGTTCAATGGTGACCCTGGAATGGGCAGCCACCCGAGAGATGAATGACCCGTTTTGCTGCACATTAGTTACGTTCATCTATCTCAGGTTTACTCAAGCATGGGCAGAAGCCCTGCTCTACCCTGAAAAGGGAAGCAAAGGATTCGTTTATCTTCTGCAGGAATATTTATCGAACACCTAAGTGCACTGTGGAAAGAAGCGCTGACAGTAATTAGCCAACAGGTACCCCGTTTAGGGGGCGAGTTGTCCATGAAATGAAATGAAGTAGGGGGGATGCAGGCTGCTCTCTGCAAGGGCTCTATGCAAAGGCCGGGTTCTGTGCGCAAAAAAAGACTAATGCAGCAATACTGGGTACACAGAGAGTAGAGGGCAGGATACCAGTAGACTTTTTCCCATCTTCATAGCTAACAGTCCTTTATTTCCTTTTGGGATGTGGTTTTAATAGGTTATTTAAATAAGGTAGTTTTAGGCTTGGGGGAGGCTTTCAGCCCAAGGTATTTTCCTAATTGTTAATACGAAGCAGTTTTTAATAGAGACCTTTGAAACATGGCAGCTACCATCATCTAAAAATAACCCCAGGAGCATGAAATTATTTTTATGTGACCTGCTCATCACACCCACAGCTGAGAAGATATGCTCCTTCTACCCTGAAGGCATTAATATTTTTAGGGCTGGGTTTATGACTGCACATGAATCTAAAAAATTAAGAATGAACTCCAGGGCTATACAGACGTTATATTAAAATATAATGTACACTATGCCAGAGGAAGGTGTTAAAAATTTAAAGATGTTCATATCTTTGAAATAGCCACAGGGGAGGGGTCGTTGCCAGCACCAGCAGCTAAGCTTGCTTTGACTTCTAGACAGCCAGGCAGGGCAGGAAAAATCAAGAATCTGAATCAGTTGATTACTTCAAATTCTGTTGAAAAGGGGCCCATCTACAACATTCTATGGTCTTCAAATAGCCTAGCTGTGAACTGCAGAAACACTCCAGGGTGGAGACTTGGAGGCCTGAAAAAGTTAGGCTGTGGATGGGACCGGGCTGGGTGGGCAGCTTTTGTGCATCCAAATCTGTCTAGACGAGAATATCTGCCACTCCTCAATCACACTGAAAGGAGGGAAGGCGGGGACCTGGGGGCAGTGGAGGCAGAATGCCCTTAAAGAACTTGGAAACCTTTTTACAGATGATCTCTCTCTGGCTCAACTGCAATTATCAAGATGTCCCCATGCAATTCCTCATTATTGAATTAATACCTCTGAGGACCCCAAAGGTAAACGAAAGGACTCTAATAATTCATATTCACTTAATTACATCTTCTCTGGTGAACAGGGGGAGAGAAGAGGAGGGGGCGCTCTCTTTCTTTTTAAAAGTTATTTAACTTTCCCACGACTTGTTCCCCTGAGCTGAAAATGCGGAGTTGCTGTCACATCTCTGTTTGACAATGGAGAAATGTGTCAACAGAAAGGAGGGAACAGGCCTCATCATTAGCCCTCTAATGCAAGAAGCTGTTGTGTATTAAATGAGCCATATGGAATTTATTGTGCTTTATCAGCGCTTGATTTTGACTGTAAAGTGATTCACTCAGCTCCTAACCCAGGGACATCTGTTTTCTGTTGGCCATCGGGGCTGCCCAGTGTTGATCGTCTCTTTGGTTATGAGGCCTGGGTTCGGAAATGCACTCTGGTATGGGGCTGCAAACACCTTTAATAGCATTGCACTCACTCCCTATTAGATCAATGTGGGCTCATTGCTATAAAAAATGGGAAATCAAATAGCATTAGCCAGCTCCTTGTGCGGGGCGGAGGGGAAATCAAACAGCATTTTGCCTTCAAATGGCCCTGTTTGTTCTAGCACTAAGTGGGCTTTTATGAAGCCCGATTGGAGACTTAATCGCAGCCAAATACCTGCTTGGAGCTGAGCGGATTTGTCTAACAACCAAATCCATGCTCCATCCCATTATTTCAATCAGAAGTCCTCTGTGGATTGTTTTCTATAGGGGCCTTGGGACTGGAGGCTCCTGAATTGCCGTCTTAGGGCCCCTAAAACCCCTGTTCTTGCCCTGGACTCCCTCCTCAGGCTCCCAAATCCAGACACCTTCCCCTCCCACCTCCTAAATCTTAATTCTTAAGTATCTTTGTGTGTGTGTGTGTGTGTGTGTGTGTGTGTGTGTGCGCGCGCGCGCGGGCGCGCGCCCACGTTTGAGTCTGCTTTTTGGATTCTGCTTCTCTTTTTATGATGGGGGCCTCCACCTCCCCAGAGTCCACCAACCCATCTCTCTCCCCCACTGTCCCCCCGCCCCGCCCCTCCCTTCTTCCTTCTCTGTGTGCAGCTCACCTGGACTCGGGCCTCAGTCAAGTCCAGCCTCATGGCCAGTTCTTCCCTACAAGAAAGCAACACACAGACAAGAGGTCACTACGGGCCCAGCAATGCCCTCCGGGCCACCGTCCCCTCCATGGCAGGCCTCTAGTCCCTTGGTTGCCTGTCCCCACCCCCAAGTACCAGGGCATCACCAGCCCTTCACTATTGGACTGCCTGCGGTCTGATTGAAAACATAAAACCGCAATATGTTGCCAGATACAGAATATTATGCATTGTAACATACTCAAGTGTGACAAGGTGGCTTCTTGGGTCTATAATTCTACAGTCCTGGCCACACAGATTCTCTCTTCCTCTCTTAGGTCAGAGCTATACAGGAAACACAGGCGCACAGGTGCGCACAGTCCTTCTACCCTGTTTTGTCCTGATACTAAAGGGGACCGGAGCTCAGCACTCCACTAAAACAATTTTTTCTGCCCTCTGGGTTCCCTTCTGCTTTCTTCTTTTTAAACATTTCTCTCCTCTCCTCTCTTTCTCCCTCCCCTCCAACTCTGCATTTTTCTCCATTTCTCTCTCCCCGACCACCCTCCCTCGCTCACCCCTTAGGTCACACTCCCCATTACCCTCTGGAGATACGTTAAGCTTGTTAAGAGTTCAGTGGGGTAATTTTTCGATTAAACAAAATTCTGTGCACCTCCTGACTCCAGTGCCCACTACAAACCCTGCCCATCTCAGGGGAAGTCAATTTAGCTGAAACCCTACCCCGTCATTGCAGTTATTACTGTGACAATTAAGGCAAATAGGAAACCATTAAGATGCTGTAGAACGGCTTACGACCTGTTTACCGAAAATATGAGCGCGCCGAGAATAATTGGCTCTCTGCTCACTAACGTGACAGAGCAGGGCTGCCCGAGCCTGGGGCCCGGGTCTGAGCTGCCAGTAGGCCCCCGTCCACACCTGAAACCTCGGCACCCGCCACCGGGAGAAGATCGGTTCACCAAGCTCTAGCCGCTGCCCCCCCTACAGTGAGCACCAGCAGATCTAAAACTGCACTCTTGTCTGCCCCCCACCCCCACCGCAGCCACAGCCTCATGGCTCAGACACCCAGGCTGGCAAGGGGTGGGTATGGGGCGGCAGAGAGCCATGGCCCCTCCTCGCACACTTTGGTCCCCCCCCCAAGCTAAAAAAAGGGCGGGCCTGGTTGCCAACTGTCACCGGCTCACTTTCTTCTTTTGACATACACATGTATGATAAACGCAAAAGCCGGTTGTCCAGTTAGCTATCTGATAGCACACACTGATTTTAAAATGTATTTCATTTATTAAAGGAAGGGACTGGGAGACACCAGGGAGGACCAAGTTTAGCTCAAGGGATAACTAACTTCAGTGCCCTGGCCCCATTAAAGCCACTCTTTTCTTGCTTCTGGTAAGGCCAGAGTTCCCCAATGGCTAAACCAACTACACTTTGGAGTTAGCTCAGGCCTTCTGAGTCCTAAACAGCGGTTTCCTCTCTGCCTCAAAGGGACAGGCAGCTTTCCCTCTCTAAAAGGCACATTGAAAAGCTGCACACGTCTGCAGCGAAGGAGCTGCCTGCGCCTGACAAGTCCCACACCAGGCAGACACCGGTCCCTTTCTCTCCTCCTCCTGGTTCGGTGGTGGTGGTGGTGGCATGTGTGTGTGTGTGTGTGTGTGTGTGTGTGGAGTACCCTTACCCTGGCTCCTTGCCTCAGCCCAGACCTTGACCATGCGCTGGGAGAGACATGTCCCCCAACTGCCCGTGGTCCAGGTCGCTGGATAACCAGGCGCCCAGAGGTCCCGTAACCCCACCAGCACATCTTCCCCAGAAAAACTGGAGTGAGAGAAGTGGAGCGTGACCATGCCGCAAACTCTCTTGAGCACTCACCCAAAGAGAAAATCTCCCCAACTGCTAGGCTACAGCCTGTCAGGGTTCCAGCAGTCATTGGCCACCGGGTAAACCCGTTTACAGTAAACACTCGCTGGGTTGGAAGTGTGTGTGGGACCGGGGCAAGGAGAGGACAGAGGGCAAGATTCTGGCTGGTGCCTTTCAGGTGTACAGACACCAAACACTGCTGCCCAGTTCCGACTTCCTTCGGTTATTTCGGGAGCCTTCAAATGACAGAACTCAGATCCTTTTAAAGGCCTTCTGTGCAGGCACGGGCTCCAGCTTCACTGCGAACAGCGTAACTGATACCCAGCAGACTCCTGGGGCACCAGGCAGGGGTGGCGAGCACACGGTACAGTGGCCAAAAATAGCCCCTGCACTGCTCCGGACGCGGGACCTCGCACAGGCTTCCTCTGCTTCGCCAGCGACCTGGCGCGGGCCGCAGCGCCTGGGACGGTGCCTGTGTGTCTCCGTGTGTCTGGGTGCGCCCCCCACCCAGTGGCACCTTCAGGCAGTCCTTGGAGAGGCTGCTTCTTTTCCTTTCTCTAACTAAAACTTGTAATTTGAACACAGTAAACTAAACCGACCTTGGGAAGTAAAGAAACTATGGAAGCCTAAACTTAAATCCGGAGGGGGGAGAAGGAGAAGTGGGCCATTTTCGAAGAGCAAAGGTGGGTGTTCGGGAAGGTGAGCCTTTGCAGGGTCCAGGAGGAAAGTGCCCGGAGTTCGGGGCCCCTGCTAGCCCTGCAACCCTGTCTGCAACCCGAGCGCGCCCTCCCGCCGCTGCCCCCGCGCCCGCCGTGCCGGTACCTGGTGAAGACGTCCGGGTAGTGAGTCTTCTGGAAGGCCCGCTCCAGTTCCTCCAGCTGGTAGCTGGTGAACGTGGTGCGGTAGCGCCTCTGTTTGCGCTTCAGCAGCCCCTCCTCCGAGTCGCTGCCCGCAGACAGGCACACGCTGTCCTCGCCGTCCTTGCCCTCAGTGTCCTCCGGGTGCAGCAGCAGCTCTTCCTTGGGCGACAGCTCCCCGCCCTCCGTGGCCACGGCGGCTGCGGCAGCTGCGGCCACCGCACCGGTGGCGGCCACCGCGCAGCGCCTGGGCTCCTTGAGCAGCGCGCGGGTATCGTCCTCCAGCAGCTCCTCCTCGTCGTCCTCCAGCAGCTCCTCTTCCTCGTCTTCATCCTCCTCGTCCTCCAGCAGCTCCTCCTCGTCGTCCTCCGCGCCCGCGCCGCCACTCGCCGCCGGCGCACCG